CTACACACATGCTAGAAGCAGAAACAAAAGTATGTTCCCCTATTCTTTCTAATATCTCTTCAATTCTAACCTTCTCTATCCTCTCATCATTCGTCTGTGACACTACATGTCGAACGCTTCTAACCTTTTCTTTTCCGCAGCGTCCACTGTCCATGTTTCGCACCCGTACAGCGCCGCGCTCCAAACATACACCTTTAACAATCTTTTCCGAATTTTTAAATTAACCGTTCGCGACCATAGAAGTGACTTCTTTTTATTGACGGCGACTCGACCCTGCGCTATCCTCTGCTTTATATCCCTACTACTCCTTCCGTCCTGACTTATCTGACTTCCTAGATACTTAAAATCAGCTACTTCTTTTAATCTTTCGTCTCCTATCCTTATATTCCCTTCCATTTTATTTAAAGCTATCTCTATCTCCTCCTTGCTAGATGCTAATACTGCTATATCATCTGCAAATATAAGCATACTAATCTTTTACCCCTCTATATCTATCCCTACAGTTGTAGGTACTGTCTTTAATGATGTTGATTGTTGTATGTGATTTTAAATACGAAAACATTGAATGTTATGGTATTAAAAGACTTTCACATTGCATTTATAATAATTGTAGCTATAAGTCCCTTGCAGCTATAAAATGTTAATTTTCCTTCTTGAATATTTAATACGCCTATCAAGCCTAGAAACAAAACCCGAATCTCTTGACATTATAAAAAATTAAAATAATTAGCAACACATGTATTAAGGAAATCATTTTTAATTTAAATGTTCATGCTGACAGTCGATTAAGTTTGTTTGATTTCACTGATTGACTTGTCACGTTATGTTGCTGGTGACTTTCCTCATTAAAAAAGGTATTTATTCACAGACAATATTAATTTTACGCGGTTAACAGCATGTATTCAACTTATTCAGTGGGTCAGGTGCAAACACACACAAATACGAGGAACTAATAGAGGTCGGTACTAAATGGTAAAAAATATACATCAATCAAGATAACGGAAAGCGAAGGACGCCAAGGACGACTGCTGCATCGATTAACGTTGGATGCGGAAACTACACAAAACAAATTTGTTGTACACACGATTTGGCAATCTAATTCAAAATATTTTTAAATTCAATTGTATGCAAATGGTTTGCTAATGATAAATATCAAGCACAAACCTATTATGTACAAGATAAAAAACATTTTACAATAGATACGTTTAGTAAACGACATTTACTTTTGGTATAAGCAAATCGCCGAAAACGAAAAACTAGATTTTCATTTGATAGACAGTTGTGGAGTCATTTGAAATAATCCTGAATAGCACGTAAGTGTGGCTTTGTACAAAGATTTTTTTTCTATTTATATTTTATTTAAGTACTACTGCAGTATAATGCAGCTTTGGAAGAAAAACGAGAAAGAGCAGCATATAGATATCTTTTTTTGGTAAAGGTCTAGATGATGGCCCCCACCCCCAAAAGGGGGGGAATCAAAAGAGGAGGTCTCCCCAACCACTGTACTATAAAAAGTTCGTGGCGGTCTCACCCCCATAAAAAGTTATGGGGGTTCAAAGTTAATAAATATGCCAATTTTTATACATTTCTAGGCATGTAAATATTTATATAGTCATTCTTAAACAATATTCAAAGGTAAAACTAATGAAAAATACATAAAAATATTGAGAAAGTTATATAAAACATTATTTAAGTATCTTTATCATTAAGTTAGGTTAGGTTAGGTTATCGGGTTTTGTTCAAGTGACCACCCTCTTTCGATCCCCCACTTCCACCCGCTTGAAAATAATTTTTTTATTGAATTTTATTTGAATTATAGTGTATGGAAATTGTCAAAGTAATCAACCGCCGCAAACTTTTTATGGGGTTTTACTCAGGTGACCACCCTCTTTCGATCCCCCACCTCCACCCGCTTGAAAATAATTATTTTATTGAATTTTATTGGAATTATAGTCTATGAAAATTGTCAAAATAATCCACTTTCAACCCCATAAGTTTTTATGGGGGTGAGATAGCCGAAAATTTTTTATGGGGTTTTACTCAGGTGACCACCTTCTTTCGATCCCCCTACCCCCACACCCTTTGGGGGTGGAGGGCCATCATCTAACCCCCATAACTTTTTATGGGGGTGAGACCGCCACGAACTTTTTATGGTACAGTGGTAGGGGAGCCCTCCTCTTTCGATCCTTTTGGGGGTGGGGGCCATGATCTAGACCTTTACCCTTTTTTTTTGTTCTTTATTTCAGTTAATTTTCAACATGTATGAATAGAAACCAAAATCATCAAAAAAACTATCATAATGCCATTAATGCACCTGTATCACGCTAGTAGATCACATACTAAATTCCCTCACCTAAACATAATATGTATCAAGCTTGCAGTTCGTTATCTGATTTCCTCAAAACAAAATCATAACATTTTACAAAATTAGAGCATAATATCAGCGGAAACAAGCATGTGATTTGGTAGCATGATATCTATCAATCTCGCAGTAGATCATCTGATTCTTGGGATCAATACGGTCCATAAAATTAGAGCATAATATCGACTGATCGTGAAATCATCTGATTTCCTGAGATCCCGAGATGAAACGAATGTATGTGAACGGTTAACATGATGTCATGCCAGCAGATCAACTGATTTCTCGAGATCTTCAAAATTAATTCTTTCACTACAAATTACTCATTTTTTTCTGTTTCTAATATGTGATTATTTTAATCATTTGAGCCACAAGATATATAGGTACATATCTACATACCCATTTTTAAGGTTCCATATCTCAATAATATGGCTTATCTGTCCACCTGCTTGTAACAGCCGCTTCTCAGTATTTTAAAAGCTATTTTACGGAGAAATTTGAAATTTCACGCAGCAATAAAATTAATTATTAGGAAGCATTTTTAGAGTGATTGATAAACAAAGCCAAACAGACATCATCAAAGAATCCTGAAATATCCCTTTTTAATTGCTACAAAGGACATTTTTGGACACATTGCAGAAAATTACCATAAAAAGCATGTCCTCGATTTCCTAAACCAAAATTACGAAAAGTACGTAATACAGAGGTTTCCGCACAGCTTAGAGTAAATACACTTTTACTAATATTTGTTATTTAAATGAGATCTGAACTTGAAATTTATATTAGATAACAGCTATTTTTCATTGCTGATCAGCACGCATTCTTGTGGCCGGAAGGACTTAAATGATAATTATTAAGCAATTTGTAAGTAAGTAAGCACTCGTTACGGGGCATTACAATAAAAAATCCATCAACAAATCGTGCTAAAACTTTTTCAATCGCTAAACTATCTCCAACGTACATATTCTCTTCCTTCTGAAGTATGCGGTTCACAACCAGATCAGACTTGCAGGGCACAATTACTTTCAAATTCTGTAACGATATTTAAGCCAGTGGGTCTGTGGCGTACCGAAAGGTCGTGTAAGAAGCAAGTCATCTTCAACTTATACCTTCTGAGAGGAAGCGAACATCACATGGGCAAAGACTGATTTTGTACAATGAAGCGCCACACAGTAGATGACTTACAAATAAAAAGAATAAAAAATGATCTCAAGAATCAACGACAATGACTTGTCAAAAAATTTAAGAATGAGAGGCTGAACAACAAGTTTAAGGTATTTTTGAAATAAATCCTATTTAACGCCCGAGCCTCCTTCGACGATTTGCCCCTCTTCCTTTGTCAACCTTGTGGCATCATCCCTAATATACGCATAATGGGTGGCCCATTCAAAACTTTAAACTTGGAAGACCGTATTTTTTTTTTTTGGAAATCCCTGAAACAAGTCGATTTTGCATTCAAAGAGGACATTGCTTGATTGCACATTCATGGATGTAAGATCATTCTTCTAATCTCTTTAAGAATCTTAAATGACAAGAGGGGTCAAGAGGCAAATCATTTTAAAGGCATTTAAATTCGTTACCTAAATTACCTATCTGGTGACATTCAATCAATTTTTCAGGACTTCGATTACTGTCTAATCTTTTTGTAGTTCAAGTATCCGATAAGTTTATCATTGATTATTATGTCCTTTTTCTTAATTTATTTTACCAACATTTCTAACTCGGTTATGACATTAATTATAGTCCAAAACAGAAGAAATTCAGCATGGTTCTAAAGAGAATAACTGAAATACTTTTAAAATAATGTGTCGCTTAACCCACTGTACCATTTAAGATTCTTAAAGAGGTTACCACCTCCTTTAGAAGAATGACCTTACATCCATAAAATTACAATTAAGAGATGTCCCTCTTGAAGGCAAAATCAAACTTTTCAAGGGATTTCCAAAAAAAAGTGGGGTTGGAAAATTTTCCAGGTAGAAATATTTAAACGCACCATCTTGTATATGTATATGGTAAAGGTCAATTTTATAGTGATATGCCACATTTAAGTATAATAATGAAAATTCAAGATATTGAAAATATAGAAATGCTTTTGTAGCGGTATAATATAAAACTCTACAAAAAGCAACCGCTTTGCTTCGCATCGGCAAAAACCAGCGAAAGTTGAGGTTCAACCCTAACGGTAAACTTTTATGGTTGTACGATATGGACCAAGGTTGATGTGCCTGCAAAAGCTTTTTAGAAGAAAAGAGGGATATTCGGTCTTTTAGTTCGGTTGGGTGTTATTTTTGGTAGATGTTTTTCCTCATTATTAAACCGTTAAAAGCCTATCTGAGTTTTATTTAATATACCAGAAGTACATAACCACTTTACTTTGTATAAACATTGTTAATAATATTGGAATAAAAGAATTTATACAATTTCTAAATTTAATATCATCAATTACCCCAGTACTGTAAAAGGAGTGATTATCAGAGGTTTTTAGTATCGCTTAAGGAATCAGCTAATCAAAGATTTAGGTTAAGTTATAGAAGGAATTATTTCCCTGACTGAGCTATGCACCATAGACAACAAACATTTTTAAACCACTAGATGCTCATTATCCCTAATAAGTAATAAATATTTACGTTCTTTTGCTTACATTAAGTCTGGTCTGAAGTGGTGGATGATCGCACAGAATGCAAGGCCATCTCTCCACGACGTTGTCATGTTTTCAACTTTGACGCCAGGATAACCTTCTGTCATGCGTCTGCACCATAACTCCAACCCCTTAGTTCCGCGCCTTTCGCTCATATTGACTGACAAAAAACAAACCTGAAACAAAATACGGACAACAATTAATACAACACATAAAAATTGAACATACAAAAAGTACCACTAATAATATACAGACCAATAATTTTAGATTACTATTTCATTGCCAGATATAGAGACTATTAATTTTAATGTTTTGAAGGCCTTCTTCATATGTGTAAAAATTAAAATTAAGACAACTACTGCACTACTGATTCCCAGTTTGGAAATAAGGCGTGGAAGTTTAAAAATGGGAATCAGAGTAGATCGATACGAAAAGGTTTGCTTACAGACATTCTAAATTTCGTAAATATTTCATGTAGGTTAAAAAGTCTAGAATTATTTGCGCAAAATATTACAGATAAAAGTACAATAATGATAGATATTAGATTTACAATTGCACAAAAAAAAATAGTAAACGAGCTTTCGACGTATTAGAACGCGTAAATGTTTTTATAGTCATTTAATTTCTACAATTAGAAATACGTATTAAACGTTTTATACCGCCGCTAAGAGCAACGTTATATAATCATAAAACATTGAAAAAAGAACCGTAAAAATTCGCAGTAATGTATTTATGACTTTGTATAGTTAAATAATAACCGTATAATACACAGTTGCAACAATTCGATCTGAAATGTCCACATTTCGATTTAAATTAATTTTATGGGTGAAAAGAAATCAAGAAATTACGTGATAGCAGCTATTTCAGAATCCAGAGCTATGGGCTCTGGATTTCCGTATACCTGGAAAATCATAATTATTTTTTCACATGTAGATATGCCAATAAACAACTAATAAGTTCAAAATCGCGACACACGACTTGTATAGTTTTAATAAAATGTTGACTAAAAACACATTCCATTAAACTTTTGAATTAAATTAAAAGAATCGCCAATTTTGTGTTTTTTTTCAAAAATTATTTATTTATTCATAAATAATCTATTTTGTTCCCTTCAAAGTAATCCCTTTCAGATATACACTTGTGCCAACGTTTTTTCCTATCCTCGAAGCACTTTAAAAAATCATTTTTTATGATCTTGTTCGGCTCCGTCCTCGATGCCTTCTCAATCGTACCGTAGCATCGTCCTTTCATGGAAATTCAAAATTTGCGAAACTTTTTGAACAGACCTTGTATACTTGTATTTTGATTTTAAAGTGGAGTTTTATTACAATATTAAAACGGAAACCCTTTGTTTTGTTGTATCAAACATTGCCCGGCAAAACTGAAATGTTTATATTATACTTTATGAATGCTACTTGTTTATAGCCATTTAATTTTTGTTTTTTCAAAGTTGTAAATTGTCAAAAAATTTACAATTTATATTTTTGAACCATCCTGTATTTTTAATCGAAATGTATTAATTGTTAAACTCACGAAAACTGCGATTTATTAATTAATTGCATATTTTATGGTTTTTAAATAAAACGAACTGCAAATTTACATAATTATTCCTTTCACTCCATATTTATTGCTTTCTATGCAAACTGGAATTTTTTGTTCATAAAACGTTTCCTGCTGGTTGCGGTTAATATCGGAAGTAGGAAGCACATAAAATTTTTCTATAGTTTAGTGCGGAAGTTGCATTAGCCATTACTATTATTTATAGACTGATGGTGCATTTATGTAACAATTGAAAGAAATCAATTAAAAATTAAAAGCTATACTTTGTTGAAACGTGCCTATTTTAAAGGCAAGCTTTCGTCATTGTGCTCAATGCCTCAATTTTCACAGTTAGGTGTTAATTTATTCTGTGCCGATTAATGTGTAAACATCGGTACGTAGCTCGATTTTCTACGCACGGTATGCAATAAGGCAGGTGTATATATTATAATAACCATTCACAGTGTGCGGTAAACTTCTTATTTGCTTTTTTAAAAGTACTGCGGTCACCACTTATTAACGTTCCATTTCCATTGATCATTTTTACTAACAGTAATGGTACAAAAAAGGTTTGGAATTCGCGGGTATATTTTATACTTGTGACGGCTGCGGTATAGTGACACAAAGACTACTCGTATTTTTTTTAGACATTTCCTCGAATTAACTTCGTAATGTGAATCTCTAAGTAGTCAGGTTTTTAAGATAAACTCGTGGAAATTGAATATTAGTAGTACAAAACATTTAAAAACGTACATTTTAAAGAAAGTAGTTACTGAACTGGAGCAAGATTTGCTCAAAAGTTTTGTATTACTTTACTTATTTAAAAGCACTTCAACCTTCCTGTGTTCTTAAGCCGCGAAGATAGCCTAACATACCTCCAAAACCCTCGATACTTTTTGAACAGACCTCGCAGTTCTGTTCGGTCAACCGCCCCTAGTGTTGCCACTTCGAGGGATTTTTAAAGTTCTCAAAGGATAAAGGGATTTTTCCTTATTTTCGCGGGATATTTTGTAATTTGCCATTTTCTGGTTGGTTTTGTTTGATTTTGTTGACCTGATATTTAGATTACATATTATGAAGGCGCTCACTTTTCTAATTGAAAACGTAATTGATATACGACGCCGACGTGCGTTCAAGCCTACTGGTGTAGCCTATAGATACCTGTTCAAGTCCCTACAATAAATTGTCTTGAACTCTTTTGAATTGCATATTGTTTTCGTATCATTGTATGGTCTTCAGCAATCATCTTGAGAGTGACCAGTCAATAGATCAGAAACAGAAGTTAAAGCTAATAAAAATAAATGTTTGAGTTGGTGTATTGTTCCGAAATCCGAACATCTAAACATCTAAACCCCCAAGACCCGGCTTTGTTTTGGGAAACGAGATCACTACATACAATAAAATTATCGGTATTATGCTATCGACACGAAAAGTTGTCCATGTTTACAGAAATATTGTATATTTTTTTCTTCGAATAAACGATTAAATTAACGAATTAAAAAATAATAATAGTAATAAGTTGGAGGGATTTTTAGAGAAAATATGGGACTTTTTCGACCTGCGCGTGGAGGGATTTTTAGAGAAAATATGGGACTTTTTCGACCTGCGGGTGGGATTTTTTCCTGTAGTAGGTTGGCAACAGTGACCGCCCCGACAAAAATTTTGTCAGCCAATAAATCACCTTCCGTTACAATTTATCGTGTTGGTTAGATAGCTGGGGAAAGTAAGACCCTTATAATAAAATTACTACATCATCCCACCTACCCTAACCCCTTTGGATACAACGGGCATAACAATTTATCTAAACAAGAAAATGAATCTATTCACAGTATATTCATCATCAAAACATCCCAAAGAAGCAGATATTCGAACACTATCAAACTCAACAGACCCAGCAATATTAGCCGGAAACTGGAATGTCAAAAAAAAAAAACCTGGAGCTTTAAAATCTTTAACAGCAAAAGCCTAACACTGTAAACAGTGCCTCACAAACTAAACCTAGACATCTTAGCCCCGCAAGAACCAACCAATCACGAATGCTCCATACTATGTCTCCAACTGGCAACTTCACAATGATTTAAACTTCCCCCATTTTGAGACAAACTTGAAGTGTTATTAGCGTACAAAAGAAAAACGCTTTTAACAGTCACCAAGTTAAAAAATCCCATCAAGAAAATTTTCCTCCAACTACAGTTACCGATTTATGGAGGATGTTAGAATGAATAGAGAAGAATAGAAATAAATGTTAGTGAAATGATGAAAATTAGATGTAATGGGTTAGTACGATGCGAGAATTTGGGAAATATCAAAAAGAGGTATACCTTGTCGCCAGAGAATTTCAAGAACAATGTTAAAGAGCCAATAGAATGTCGTTGGAAGGCTTTTGAAAAGCATTGACATTGACAATCAATTTTTTTATAACTTTACAAAGTTGATTTTCCTCTGCAGTTGATCTTTTTCTACGCTTTCAACTTTTTATTTCCGTTATTTTCATGTTTTCTTGTTATATTCTTCATTGAATTTCGTTAAGTAAGGCTGTTAATTGCTATAATATATAAAACTAATCCTTTCTCTACTAATAAATATTCATGAAATATTTTTTCACTTAAATTATACCACTTTCATTATCTCAATTATCTTTTGATTTCTGTGATTTTCTATTGATTAATTACTTGTATTGAGTATTTCTTGTATAAACTGTTACATTATATTGTCACATGTTGTTTTGCTTCGTATATAACTGTTCTTTCAGCTGATTAGTTCTTTAAAAACCTCAAAGTGTGTGTCTCAATAGATCACTGGACAATTAATCTGAATCAAACTTTGTCAACAAGTCGATGCATCAACGGCTCTGCTTGGTGTTTACGTGTTTAGCTTCGAGCAAAAAATTAATTAGATAGAAAACACTGTTCAAGAACAGACATCAACCATATCGATTTACATATTGAATGCTTATCAAAATAGGGTAGACACTATAAGTACTATTAGGTATGTGTGCCAATAGGTACATGTGCAATATTAAAAACATATGTTGGTATATCTAGATTATATATATATTTGTATATTTTAAAATCCAAACTTTATTTAGCCATATATTTATTTCATAAAATGTGAAAAAAATAGTGGCGGCTTGCAGAGCATGTTTATAAGAAACAAAATCAACCCCTTTTTCGCCCCTTTCCCTTCTTCCTGTTTTGTTCGTATATACTTTATTAGTAGAAGTACCACTTATTTGTTAGCTGTGCGATTATGGATTAAGGATAAAACAGAAAGGCGAAAAGAAATTGATCATGCAAGCTGTTTTTATTAAGAATCTAAGACTAAACCGTCACATCATGTAAAAATAAAAATTGCCATATTTTTTTCTTCGATACCGCGCGATTTGAAAGGATTGACAAATTCCCAGTTAATCTCGATTTCCCGATCGCTAGACACCCTGGGCTTGAAACGAAATGAAGCCTATTTTCTGTATATGTTTACTCATCAATTTTTTGAAAGTTAATTAGTCCTGCGATCCTTCATAGATTAAACTTGTCTACTAACTTCTCATTAAAGCTGTTAATTTCTGAAATAGTGTGCAGAGCTGCGTCAAGCGGCCCAGTTCAATAGTGTAATGGATACCGCAAAGAATTAATTA